CAAGTTTCTTGTCTTCTATTAATTCGTCTGGGTCGAGTCTTGTTGTTAATTTTGAAGTAGCTGAAAATGAAATTTCTTTAAGAACATCTTTTCTTTTTGTAAATGAATTTGAAACCAATATGAAATTTTCATTGATTTTGGTTGTGCATATTAATGTTATTAATATCTCAAATTCACACGCTTCACCACTTGGCAACACAACGATTTTTGGATTTGACTCAAATGTGTATTTCTCGATTGTCGCACTTTTAGTTGTCATTTGGATTTTCATATTGTGCTTTGAGGTGTTGCCAACACACAGTAGTTCTCTTTGTTGTAAATTGACATCAATGTCTTCACCAAAAATTATTTCTGTTTTGTTCACAACAACATCGTCACCAAGTGGAATGAAAGAAATGTTTGAGCGACTCATTTGGAAAAGTGTTGTTGTCGTTTCAATTTCTTTTTGATGGATTTTCTTTTCAACGTACAATGCGACAAACACAATCGTTAATATCAGAATTATTAACACACCAATTATAAATAAAACTATAATAAGTAATACCCACCACACAACCTTTTTATTACAAAACGTGCCATTTGCATTTGGTGAGTGCCAAAATGTACACTTTGAACACTTTGAGTCTGAAACTTGAAGACAATTTAATACAAAAGAAATATCTAGACAAAGTCCACTTTCAAATAAAACTTTGTTTTTGATACAAGAAGTGCATTTCTCTTGGTGTGTACAAGTTGTGCAGTTGCCATGACATTTTTTGCATTCATTAGTATTGACTGTGTAATATCCATCTTGACACTTGTTACACCCAAATTGTGTAACTTCTATAGAACACCCAATGATACTGTTTTGTGGCAAACACTGTCCACTTGTTGTTTTGTAATTTGTTGCATTGCAAGTCAAACACGTTTTATTTGTGTTACATGTCGTACAATTAGAAAGACAATTAAAACAATCCATACCAACTCGATAATACCCATCTTTACATTGATAACATCCACTTGTAATTGTTGATATTTTTTCACATGTTGACAATAATTTGGTGCTTGGCAAACAGACGTAATTTTCACTCATATAAAAACCAGATGTACACTCAAGACATTTTATTTCACTTTCAAAGCATTTGGTACAATTCTCTGAACATGGAAAACATTCTGCATTTGAAAGGTAATACCCATTTTTACATGAAATGCACCCATAT